CGCTACATCGACCAAGCTCTCAGACCCCACGTCATACCACATTTCGCACGTCACCGGAACAACATTTTCCAGCATGATAACGCCCGGGCCCATACTGTCAGAGTTACACGGGATTTCCTACAGCAGAACGGTGTCAACATTAACATTTTCCAGCATGCAGTGGCCAGCCCTTAGTCCTGATTTAAACCCAATTGAACATCTTTGGGATGAAATTCAGAGGAGACTAAATAATGTCATACCAAGGCCGAACACAGCCGATTTATTGCGCCAGGTGTGGTTCCAGGTGCCAATGGCCTTCATCAATCGATTGGTGCACTCCATGCATAGACGCTGTGCTGCAGTTATTGCCGCTCGTGGTGGTCACACTAGATATTGAAGTCAAGAGTCTGAATGGACTGCAAACGTTTATGTAATGTCGTGAAATTGTGCTGAGCTATTCATTGATGTGTCAAGATATGATACACACAAAATGTTTTTGATCCGCTAATTATGTCCATTTATGTAATCATTTGATTACAGTGCCTATCTTATTTTGAATTCGGACTGACGGTTTCTTTGCTGCTGAGTATATAATGGCTGTTAAAGTCCCTACATATAAAATATGGGCCTCCATTGGGATCAATTAATTTCAGATACTCATCTACGTTTGGCTTACCTGTATTATACATATTAACAATAGTAATGGCTTTATCTTCCTCATAGTGATTTTTTACTGCGTTAGCCTCTTACACTGTATTTGGTAATTCGTGAACCTGATACGACAAATCAGTCTTAATAAATATAGCACAACCACCTCTCCGAGGATTTTTAGTATTCGGATTGCCGGTTAGTCTGTCCTGACGTAGACCAAGATAGCCGTTAATTCTAAAATGACTCTCTGGCCAAAGAAAAGTTCCCTGTACACAAATAATATCCGGCAGTGGTGACCTATTTGATAGAAAATGCTTTAAATTATCCCCATGTGCAATAAGACTTTGTGCATTCCATTGCATTATGGTCAGGAATATTAAAGCTTTATCCATCATTCATCTCAACATGTACCTCACTCAACAGATTACTAGGAATGTATTTTTGCCGCCGACATACATTTGTTCTGTTCTATATGCATGGTTGCTTCCCGTAGGTGTAACAGGATCCAAGGTCGTTTGTTCCAATGAGAGATGTTCTTTGATTGTAATCATTGATATGTCAGCAGGGTACCCTTGCTTGAATTGGTCTTAAACCCGTGTAGCAAGGAGTGGAGCCTTCCAACAGATGACATTCAGCTCTGTGATGACGTCGACAAGACGCCTAAACTCGGATTAGAAGGTGTATGCTTCAGAACCCATCAGACGCCTTTTGGCATTTTTGGCCGCTAGATTGCTGTCCATTGTGGGACTGAACAATTTCAATTGAGATAGCAACAGCCTCAGTAACCTTTTATTTGTGCACTCCAAGACTTGTCATCTGTTTTTACCCTCCTTCATCGTCATTCTTGAAGCAAACTCACTCACTCACTCTCTCATTGAAACCGGCACAGATGTATATTCTAAGCCATTCTTTACTCTGATGACGTTCTTATGGATCTTATGGCGAAATAGCTTTTTCAAAGTATACGAATGAACCACTCAAAATCAGATACAACACCAGGTGTTCGGGAAAGTGGGTGTGATTGTCCTGTCCTCACGGTCTTACCCATGATTAGATCATTCTCCATAGTATTTATGTCTCGATAATCTCCTGGGTATACGTTCCGATGATTCTCCATTAGTACCCTGGATGCATCTACAGCGCGGTTCGATAATTGTATTAGAGTTGGGGTTGGTGTGTGCGGGCTCGGTAGTAAGTAGGGTTGCGGTTTGTGTGTGTGGGTGGGGGGTTGGGGGGGATAATGTACTTCGCACTACACATGACTATTTGGTTTTCCAATATGTGGGATCCTTTTAATCATGCACAGAAACAATGGAAGACGTAGCAATTGTATTCGTGATTACAGGTGAGTTGTTTATAAGTCCTATGATTATTTTATCATAGTCTTTCAAATACATTTATATTATAACAAGGATTTAAAATATCATAAACAGGTTCATTCAAAGTTCATTCACACATTAGCATAACAATGTTCTGTTTCATTGTTTCGTTTAACACATGAGACACCAATAATAACAGAGTCACGTTTTCAATAACACGTACAAGGATATCAATCATTGTTAACGTAATCAATAAAGGGTTTGGCCTCACGTCCGAAAACACAATATGCCATGATGGACAGATATCAATAAGGGGTTTGGGCTCACGTCCGTAAATCCACACACGTACTTGTCTGCCATGATGGACAGATATCAATAAGGGTTTTGGGCTCACGTCCGTAAATCCACACACGTACTTGTCTGCCATGATGGACAGATATCAATAAGGGGTTTGGGCTCACGTCCGTAAACCCACACACGTACTTGTCTGCCATGATGGACAGATACAATAACGATGTACTTGTCTGCCATGATGGAAGATATCAATAAGGGGTTTGGGCTCACCCACACGTACTTGTCTGCCATGATGGACAGATATCAATAAGGGTTTATATCAACACACACGTACTTGTCTGTATGGACAGATACCTGTACCTGTCTGTTCCGGTACGACGGCCAGGTCATAAAGGCCTCCGACAGGGAATAAATGATTATTAACTTTAGATATGTTCTACCAGATGTGAAAAAGATTGAAATTTCCAAATTTTCCACAAATTGTAAAACTGCATTTTCTAATGACCTTCGAGCGAGTGAGTGTATCTATGTTGCTGAGTGTCTGTGTGTGAGAGTGTACTTACTTACTTACTTTACTTACTTGCTTTACTTACTTACTTACTCTACCAGTCTAAGGTTGTCAGTTGATCGGCGATGTCAAATACAAGGCTGGGTTATAATCTAGGTAGGTAGGTAGGTAGGTACGTACGTAGGTATGTATGTATGCATGCATATTTCAATATCAACTCAGGATATGCGTCAGGATAAGCTTTGTGGAAACAGAGACAATATTTGTCGTCGGTGATACTGTGGTAGCATCGATCCTTCCACCCAAGCTCATCTACAACAACTCATCAGTTTATTATGGGGTATGTTTTATTTCTAAATGAACAGGGTGACTGACAAACCATAACAGCTGTTAAAACATGATAGATGCAAGCGTAACAATACGTATGTACAAGAAATGCGCGGTAGTAGGTGCGACAAAAATGTATATAAATTCATATACTGAAGACATAAAGTTAAGCATAATGAATATGTCTTTGGAAATACGTTTTGTTTAGTAGACTGAGACCACAATTTCAAAATTTCATAACGTTTTGCTCTATATATACAGACATTCAATATGGCATCGTTCACTACTCCGAAGTGTGATATATACACATGAGAAAAGCTGAAAAAAGATGTACATAACTCATTATCTCGAACTCTTCGAGAGAACCGGAGTTCGAGTAAGAGATAGTTGTCAAGTCATTTCCGAGTACAACCAAGCGAAGGATAAATGAACAGTATTATATCAAATTATTATTATGCATATATCCACAATAACTGACCTTCAAGATATCTTTGAGTTGTATGCTAATTGTCAATAGATATGTATCTCGAGTAAACCTCGAGAAAAACATGACGTCGAGATGTGGAAACGAGGTCATAACAGCAACATGATGAAGATATTAACAAAATCATACTTTTTCAGGCATATTCTTTTCGAATAGGCTAAATTCTTATGACAGTTGATGAAGATGTTTTTCCACTTGTACGTTCCCTGTATCGTCGAGTGAGTTTGTTACAACACCGCTTTGGACAGAGGTCGACCATGGCGTCTCAGCTTCATGTTGGGGGATAGTGAGTATTGTTTTACGCCGCTTTAGTAATATTCAAGCAACATCACGGCGAGGGACACCAGAAATAGATTTCACACATTGTACCCATGTTGGGAACCGAACCCGGGTCTCTGGCGTAACGAGCGGACGCTTTAACGATCAGGTTTTCCCACCGGCAAAAATCTGGGAATCGAGCCCAGGTGAGTCGTCCTATCAAGGGTTAGAATGGTCATATATACTCCGCCTGGTCTTGGATGTCTAGACTAAGTCTATTTTGTCCATTATAATTCCACGTGACACGAATGTTCAGGGCCTTGTTCCTCAAAGCGATCGTAGCGCTACGATGATCGTAACTCCCATCCTTTAACATAGACTTACGACTGTCGTAGCACTCCGGTCGTTTTGAGGAACGGGGCCCTTGTTGCCAGTTGAGCAGGGCCATCCCAATTTACAAAGACATATATAGTTATTGAGGTGGTTATAAAATATATCTTTTATGACTTAAGTAAGAAATTTGGGGACACTCGCATTTAACGCATCGAACTACTATTCGACGATGTAAAAGTCGGTTTGAACATTATTTTCATTGTACTGCGGTGTGAAAACTTACCATGGAAAAATACCTAACGTGATTGGTACAAGTTTACAACTCTGATGTTACCAACGAACATGAATATTGGTGCTGACAGACTAAAGTTCATTAGGATCCTGGCCCTGATAAGAGGCGCAACTCTTTCCACAGATATTTTGACGGTGAAGCCACCACTGGGAGCATCTCAAGTATTTTAAACATTGTTTGTGAGCATACGTACGGCTAATGGAGAAAGTACTAGATACACAGGGCTGTAAGTACTGTAAGTACTGTAAAGTCCAACGGGCCAGAGCCCCGTCTGTCCGATATATGTGCGTGTATACGAGTTTCCCCTCACCCGGATTCAGCCTTGCATATGCAAACACAGTAATGTGTATTTGTTGAGACTGGTGTATCTAATACACTTTCATATGTCTCTCAAAAATAGCGACTTTGTGACTTGTGACTCCTTCCAGAGAAAATAATATCATTGTTGATCAGCGCAACCCAACCACCGCCAGCCAGACAACCATACCACATCCCAACCTATATGTATCCTGACTCCAGCATTCGACCCCATTTTACCCAGCCCCATTCAAAAGACATCTTTGTTTCCTCCATCATTTCTGATTCTCATATCACCCTATCCCCATTTATGCCATTCCTGCATCTGAAACCATCCCAATCATCCCATCTTTATCCGCGTGCCAGCATATGAGCCTATTTTACCAAATCCCTATCCTTATCCTCATCCTAATCCAACGCAACTCGTATTTATGTCCTCCATCCTTTCCAGACTTCATTCCAGCCTATCCCTATTTTTATGCCAATTCCACATATGAATCCATCTCACCTCATCCCAATCCCAAGCTACCCATCTGTATCCCCATTCCCACACTCGTTTCGACCACACCCACCACACCAACCCCTCCCTACCTCGACCCTCCTGATCCACCCCCTCGGGATAGGTACCTCACAGGTCAAACACACTGTCTGGGATAAAAATATAGACTTGTCAAGATTGTTACGATCAAAAGTACACGAGAAAACCTGCTCACTGATGAAATGGAGGATTGTGGGCAAGCAAACGTCCATGTTTGTAGCTTCTCCAAGGGGTAATAAGACCCCTTGCTGAACATGGTGCTGTTGTACTCGGTATCTATGGAGTATATTAAACCAGATATCCTGTTGTCTTTATTTTTCACGAATTCCACAATCTCTGGCTGGAACTGGTCGTCAGAATCGCTCATGAACCACAACGGGCCATAGAAGCGGCCGTGAAACATTGTCTCCGACTGCGGATATAGGTTCAGTTTCCCAAACCTCCCAAAGGTCATCCGCAGAGCGTCTTCCCCATCCTCCTTCAGCTCCACCCGTATTTCACCGAACCCTCTGTGGTAGTACGACCCCACGTAGTCCTGTGCTGGCCTGGCAGTGACGACGGTGGTGTCCGTGACGGTAGGGGGGCTGGCGGATTCGAACGCTTCCTTCCACGGAGCTGGGTAGGAACAGATGGTAGATGTGTTGAGCCAAGGGTCTTCTCCAAGCAGGATGTCAGCCGCGTAGCTCATGATGGCCCTGAGGGCGAGAGACTTGGTGTGCGTTTGGGGGCCGTTGACCACGGCGTATATGCCGACGTTCTTGTCTGGGAAGAGCCAGAGGCGCGATGAGTGTGTGATGATGCCTCCTGAGTGCCAGACCAGTTTAAAACCTAAATAAAAAGGAAACAATTTTAATTCAGCAAAGAAGCGTTATCCAGAACGCCGTTAGAAGGGCGACTCCACAAAGAGTAAGTGCATGAGTTTAGTTTTACGCCGCTTTTAACAATATTCCAGCATATCACGGTGGGAGACACCAGAAATGGGCTTCACACATTGTACCCATATGGGGAATCGAACCCGGGTCTTCGACGTGACGAGAGAACGCTTTAACCACTAGGCTACCCCACCGTCGACTCCGCAAAGAGGGCATTCCAAAAGATTCAGTTTCAGATCATTGATGAAAATACAAATGAATATCATATGCTTTCTGTAACAACACTCTTTATAACGGGGATAAATATTCGTCTAATGAGGACCTACCTTCTACCTCTGTCATTCGTCTAATGAGGACCTACCTCTGTACATTCGTCTGATGAGGACCTACCTCTGTACATTGAGGACCTACCTCTATGCATTCGTCTAATGAGGACGTTCTGTCTGAGGACCTACCTCTGTACATTCGTCTAATGAGGACCTACCTCTGTACAGTCTAGATGAGGACCTCACCCAAGCCATGTCTAATAGGACCTACATGTCTGGTACATCTGGACATCTCCAACAGGAAACGTTGGTCGCTTGAGGTTGTCCTGAAGGACCGGGGCAGCCATACCAGGCTCCTGGGTCTCGGCTATGACACGGGGGTCAAACACCTGGTCACCCTGCTCGGACTTGCCGTTGTTTAAAAGCATCTGCACCCACTTGGCCATGTCCGCCGCTGTGGAATACAAGGACCCCGCTGGACCGCACGGATGAACAGCGCTGAAGAAAAAGTGAAAGAAGTATCGTAAAATATTCTATGCTCATTGGATGCGCTCTTTCCATCTGGTTATATTTGATTCATGATTGTCAGCTTGTTTTGGGCTTGTTGTTTTTCGTATTTTGCATTATTTCTGTTTATCGCCGCACTCAGCATTTCTCCAGCTATATGGCGGCGGTCTGTAAATAATCGAATCTGGACCAGACAATCCAGTGATGAACAGCATGATCGTCGATCTACGCAATTGGGATACGATAACGAGTCAACCAAGTCAGCGAGCCTGACCACCCGATCCGGTTAGTCGCCTCTTACCACAAACATCAGTTTTGCAAAACATCCAGCTGCGATTTCATTCACAATAACGAGTCATGTAGCCGTGTGATTTACGAGTGAGTGAGTGATTCGGCGAACATGGAATCAAATCCAGTACTCGGCCTGAGCATTGGTATATCAACATTTTATCCGTGTTTTCGTGGGTTCGTCTGAGACCTAAGGTGTCCTCTTAAACCAGCCTTCAAGCTGTGCCTTCATACTTGCTCTGCCATTTTTGCATTTTCAACACAAGTATTTACAACTTCGTTATATACCTACAAAGGCACTGGGGCGGTGGGGTAGCCTAGTGGTTAAAGCGTTCGCTCGCCACCACGCTGAAGACCCGGGTTCGATTCCCCACATGGGTACAATGTGTGAAGCCCATTTCTGGTCTCCCCCGCCCCGATATTGCTGGAATATTGCTAAAAGCAGCGTAAAACCATACTCACTCACTCACAAAGGCACTAATGCTGTTTTTGCACCCATAATGGCACTGCAGGACTTCCAGGAACCCTACAAGACTTGGTGCAGTCTTGAATAAGACGTCAATACCAATTCTCGTGGCACCTCCTGCATGGGCAGTCCTAACCGATTTCTCAGCTTCTTCTACGTGTTTTTATAACACTCTGTCTGGTGTCGTGTTCCGTTACTTCCGGAAACACGGCGTGAATAATTCTGCCTCGTTAAGCCTCCCACGCCAATGTAATTTTGATGTATTCGACTCAGGAATTTCGTGCAGCTAATTGTCAGTTTTTCGTGCAATATCCGGAGAAGAGCTGATGATATCTATTTCTGCCGTCGATCCCTTTTGTGGCTAATCATTTTTGGGAAATGTATCGCGAGAAAATATGCTTAATAGTTTTATTGGTGTCTCGGGTTCTGCGTAACGTTTCACGAAAACATTGGGGTTATTTTTGGTTTGAGATAATGCTGTATTTGTGTAAGGAATAATGATGGAGTCCTTAACGGATTCCCGGAGGAATAGGTCCCCTGTAGCGTATACCTGAGTCGACAAATGGGGATTGGGTGGTTAATTTATCGCGATGGTGCAGATTACTGGTGGTTTCGGTCAAAGGTTTCACTGATCGATCTTGAATATTTATAGACCGCACGGGTGAGTGAGTTTAGTCTTACGCCACACAATTTAGTCTTACGCCTCTATGGCCTATGCCAGCGGCCTCAATTACCTGAGTGAGTGGGTTAGTTTAGTTCTACACCGCACTCAGCAATATGCCAGCTATATGGCGTCTGTCTGTATTTAATCGAGTCTGGACCAGACATTCCAGTGATCAACAGCATGAACATCGATATACGCAATTGGGATACGATGACATGTGTCAACCAAGTCAGCGAGCCTGACCACCGGATCCCGTTAGTCGCCTCTTACGACAAGCATGGATTGCTGAAGACCAATTCTTGCCCGGATCTTCACGGGTTTACAGACCGCTGGGATATGTATGGGATATGGATGGGATATAGAAGTTTAGTTTCCTGGCTGCTGCATGAAAACTCACTCACTGTACCCGCTCACTCACTCACCCTACCCGTAAAGATCCGGGTATCGTATTGCTGGAAAATTGCTGAGTACGATGTTAATCAAAAGACACATGCAAAATGCATAATATACAAACCTAATAAATGACTACAACTTTACTTTGCTTTTAGGGAATATTGACAACAAATTTAATTGGCATACAATGACGTTCCTATTCGTAGCTCAACATATATACCATCTGTGACAACTAGCGGCAGTAACAATGGGATACATACAGCAGTTTAGTTTCGTGTGTAATAGTGTCTGCACTGTGTAAACTTTGGCAACTCACTGCAATATATGGGATACAGACAGTTTAGTTTCGTGTGTAATAGTGTCTGCACTGTGTAAACTTTGGCAACTCACTGCAATATATGGGATACAGACAGTTTAGTTTCGTGTGTAATAGTGTCTGCACTGTGTAAACTTTGGCAACTCACTGCAATATATGGGATACAGACAGTTTAGTTTCGTGTTTAATAGTGTCTGTACTGTGTAAACATTTTGGCAACTCACTGCAATATATGGGATACAGACAGTTTAGTTTCGTGTGTAATAGTGTCTGCACTGTGTAAACTTTGGCAACTCACTGCAATATATGGGATCCAGACAGTTTAGTCTCGTGTGTAATAGTGTCTGCACTGTGTAAACTTTGGCAACTCACTGCAATATATGGGATACAGACAGTTTAGTCTCGTGTGTAATAGTGTCTGCACTGTGTAAACTTTGGCAACTCACTGCAATATATGGGATCCAGACAGTTTAGTTTCGTGTGTAATAGTGTCTGCACTGTGTAAACTTTGGCAACTCACTGCAATATATGGGATACAGACAGTTTAGTCTCGTGTGTAACTAGTGGATCTGCACTGTGTGTTTAAACTGCACTGTGTAAACTCAACTCGCAATATATGGGATCCAGACAGTTTAGTTTCGTGTTTAATAGTGTCTGCACTGTGTAAACTTTGGCAACTCACTGCAATATATGGGATACAGACAGTTTAGTCTCGTGTGTAATAGTGTCTGCACTGTGTAAACTTTGGCAACTCACTGCAATATATGGGATACAGACAGTTTAGTTTCGTGTGTAATAGTGTCTGTACTGTGTAAACTTGTCAACTCGTTGTAGCAATATATGGGATCCAGACAGTTTAGTTTCGTGTGTAATAGTGTCTGTACTGTGTAAACTTTGGCAACTCACTGCAATATAATGGGATCCAGACAGTTTAGGTGTAGTAATGGGATCAGACAGTTTAGTCTCGTGTGGGATAATAGTGTGTCTGCACTGTGTAAACTTTGGCAACTCACTGCAATATATGGGATCCAGACAGTTTAGTTTCGTGTGTAATAGTGTCTGCACTGTGTAAACTTTGGCAACTCACTGCAATATATGGGATCCAGACAGTTTAGTCTCGTGTGTAATAGTGTCTGCACTGTGTAAACTTTGGCAACTCACTGCAATATATGGGATCCAGACAGTTTAGTTTCGTGTTTAATGGTGTCTGTGTGTAATTTGGCAACTCACTGTGTGGGATGCAGACAGTTTAGTTTCGTGTGTAATACTGCACTGTGGCAACTCACTGCAATATATGGGATACAGACAGTTTAGTTTCGTGTGTAATAGTGTCTGCACTGTGTAAACTTTGGCAACTCACTGCAATATATGGGATTCAGACAGTTTAGTCTCGTGTGTAATAGTGTCTGTTCTGTGTAAACTTTGGCAACTCACTGCAATATATGGGATACAGACAGTTTAGTCTCGTGTGTAATAGTGTCTGCACTGTGTAAACTTTGGCAACTCACTGCAATATATGGGATCCAGACAGTTTAGTCTCGTGTGTAATAGTGTCTGCACTGTGTAAACTTTGGCAACTCACTGCAATATATGGGATCCAGACAGTTTAGTCTCGTGTGTAATAGTGTCTGCACTGTGTAAACTTTGGCAACTCACTGCAATATATGGGATCCAGACAGTTTAGTCTCGTGTGTAATAGTGTCTGCACTGTGTAAACTTTGGCAACTCACTGCAATATATGGGATACAGACAGTTTAGTCTCGTGTGTAATAGTGTCTGCACTGTGTAAACTTTGGCAACTCACTGCAATATATGGGATCCAGACAGTTTAGTCTCGTGTGTAATAGTGTCTGCACTGTGTAAACTTTGGCAACTCACTGCAATATATGGGATACAGACAGTTTAGTTTCGTGTGTAATAGTGACTGCACTGTGTAAACTTTGGCAACTCACTGCAATATATGGGATACAGACAGTTTAGTTTCGTGTGTAATAGTGTCTGCACTGTAAACTTTGGCAACTCACTGCAATATATGGGATACAGACAGTTTAGTTTCGTGTGTAATAGTGTCTGCACTGTGTAAACTTTGGCAACTCACTGCAATATATGGGATCCAGACAGTTTAGTTTCGTGTGTAATAGTGTCTGCACTGTGTAAACTTTGGCAACTCACTGCAATATATGGGATACAGACAGTTTAGTCTCGTGTGTAATAGTGTCTGCACTGTGTAAACTTTGGCAACTCACTGCAATATATGGGATCCAGACAGTTTAGTTCGTGTGTGTGATAGTGTCTGCACTGTGTAAACTTTGGCAACTCACTGCAACTCACTGCATATGGGATACAGACAGTTTAGTCTCGTGTGTAATAGTGTCTGCACTGTGTAAACTTTGGCAACTCACTGCAATATATGGGATCCAGACAGTTTAGTCTCGTGTGTAATAGTGTCTGCACTGTGTAAACTTTGGCAACTCACTGCAATATATGGGATTCAGACAGTTTAGTTTCGTCTGTAATAGTGTCTTCACTGTGTAAACTTTGGCAACTCACTGCAATATATGGGATCCAGACAGTTTAGTTTTGCGCTTAATAGTGACTTTTCTCTGTAACCATGTGACAACTAGCGGCATCAAATGGGATCCAAAAGGTATAGATTACTTGCTTAATAGTGGCTATTTTGTGTGAATATATTTGTGACAACTCACTGCAGTAACATGGGATCCAGATTGGTGACTTTCCCGTGTTTGGTGGCGACTGGTAAAGCCATGTTCGAGAAATTGAAAAGTCTGTCGATGAATCCACTGCTGCTCATGTGGATGGGTCTAAGGATGTAGTCTTCCACCAGCGTCTCCCACGACTTCCCCGTCATCCGCTCGGCCACGTAGCCGGCTAGGGTGTACATGTAGTTGCTGTACATGAATTTGGTCCTAATGGGTTCAGTAGCCGGCATGTACTGGATCCTCCTGAAACAAACACCCGCCATATTAGCATACTGAAGCTTTATGAAATCATAATTTTCTTCTCATACAGTATTTGTGCAATCCCTAACGACTATATTCAACGTGTCACCGTTTACCGCTTGGGGGGTTTCGGTTCAGAAATGGCCTCGATGTTTATCGTCACTGAGACGACGCTGTGTTTGTCTGTATGTTTGTTTGTTAACAATGAGTGAGTTTTGTTTGACGCCGCTTTTCGAGCAATATCACGGCGGGGGACACCAAAAATGAGCTTCACACATTATACCCATTAGGGGAATCAAACCTCGGTCTTTGGAGTGACGAGCGAACGCTTTAACCAGTTGGCTGCCCCAAAGCCCCTATTGGTTAACTGACAAATCAGTGACCCATTTTGCCAAAGAGCAAATAGTCCCCGTTTTGGGGTAGAACATAACCCAAAATCTGGGCAAAATTTATCTCACAACGGGGATTCGATCGCAGAAAGGGTTCCGAGTCCGCAGACTCATATTTGCCAATTTCCGAGTAGATTACATCCCCTGTACCCAGACACATATCTGTCTCTCTATGGTGATTCTGGATAGAACAGGCGCTCAGTTTTAGGCCCACACTTGTCTACCTATGATTACGGCTAGAACAGGCCAGCAGTGTCCAAGCTTGTCGTAAGATTTGTCTGTTTGTCATTTAACGTCGCAGTCCAGTCATCAGCAGCATGAACATTAATCTACGCACCTGGGATACGATGACATGTGTCAACCAAGTCAGCGAGCCTGGCCACCCGATCCCGTTAGTCGCCTCTTACGACAAGCATGGGTCACTGAAGACCAATTCTAACTCGGATATTCACGGGTGCTTGTCGTAAGAGCATACCTAATGAGAGTGATGTTCGCAGTGTGACACCTTGTTCAACGTATCTTATCTTTACTCTTTCTATCGACCATTGGTTTCCCTGCCCTATGACTTACCCGACGCCACGATAGAGCTTAAATTGTGCTGACTGCGGTATAAACCCCCTCTCACACGTCAGCCGTCACATCTGTCTAGTTATACATCCCCATAACTCCAGCCAAGTCTGTGTTTTTAACACGTTTTCATGCCAAGAATGCCAATTACTTTATAAACATTCGAGCGGTGGTTTAAAAAAGTACATTGTACTGCAAATCTTGATATCCGCCAACACACGTCAGATTCGTTCATGTCTGGAGAGTTTTAATAAGTGGTCGTGATGGATGAATTAAAAGTCGGTGGTCTGTGTCTTGCGTTAGTTGTCGTATATCAGTTTATGGAAGGATAGAGTATTTGACCCAAAGGTGGAAATTTGGGGTACAAAAAGACTTTAAAAGATACTTGTTTACCTGGATGGCGCTCGGTATTATGAGGATGACTTATAATGACTCGGACGCATGTGCGCACACGCAAACGCAAACGCACACGTACACACAGAATGGGTGGAGGTGCCAGGTAGGTCGGCACACGCAAACTGTGAAGTGCAATATTCTTGAACGTACCACTATCTGATAACTAAGACTCAGTGCAGAGTTCAACTCAAATCAATCTTCGTAAATCCGAACGAACGTGTCTCCTGTATTCGTCCGGAATAAGGATTACCCTGATGGGTAAATATCCTTTTTAAGTGTTAGACGTTTAACACAGTAATCATCTGGGTAGAGTGAGGGGTGTTCATGATGTCCTACTTTCTTCTACTCACCTCACTACTTCCGATCTGTCGACATTCTCCGGGAATCCTACGACCAGAGCTTTGAAGTAGGCCGGTACTCCAACTCGATGGGACAGCAAGTCACGGAGACTCACGAGGTTCGTTCGGACATCGTCGGAAAGTTTGAAGGAGTCGCCGATGATGTCTCGAATAGGAGTGTCGAATGTCACACTGAAACAAACAAATATCAGTTTGACTCAAATCCTTAAAACACTTCGCATAATCTCCATAAAGGGTGGTAAGGGTGGAACAGTTTTCGCCCGAAATTGGTTGCGCAGAGTTACCTCCCTTTGGGGTGCCACAAGCTAACACTTGTGGGTTCATATTCAAGGTTTGTTGTCATAAGGTTTCTATCTTAGATGGCCTTTGTTTTTACTGTCATATCGCCAAAGATTTGTTGCTTAGAGATTTCAGAATAGTATCTATCCATAGTGGGGAAAAGGGCTGCGATGCGTCCTTGGATGCCACAATTCGCTGTGCAGAGTTGTCTCCCCTGGGCGAGACAGAATCACGTGTTCAAAGTTAGGCTCTCATCCTTTGGCTGAATAGCCTGGTGTTTCTAATGTTCATCGGCGATCTGCATCACCTCGACATTCCTCACAGAACCCAACCCAAACCCGAACGGCAGAGATGCATACATTGTTGATCGTGTCTGGGTCACGGACGTCTCTGTTATTGAGAATGAAAGACGTCCAGAAGATGAACAGTAAATATTAAGCTGTATAATATACATTGTATTGGTTTTAGTGTTCCACAAAATGTAGTGGAACAAAATGGGACCTCGATGTGATACCAATGGGGTCTCAAACGTTCGCTCTCCGATCCTTTTTTTCATATGGCGGCCCCACGACGGCCATATTGGACATGAATGTTTGCATATTACTCGGCGTAAAACCGTTTGTGCTGTATCACTCTCGACATTTTTGCAACAACGGCCATAATACATTTATGGTATGTGCTGACATATAGATTATACTTTATTGCGTGTTGCTTACTGATGCTGCTTTTGATCACTGGACTATCTGGTCCAGGCCACCGCCATATAGCTGGGATATTGCTGAGTGCGGCGTTAAACAACAAACTAGATTGATACTGATCCAGCAATAACCTTCACCTCATACCCCACACCCCGATAGGGCTAACACTTTGTATAGTTGATCCCATCTGTAGTATTAGTCATAATAATTGCTCAAAGAAATCCGATCCGATTTCAGACCAGGACATTGTTTCGTCAATAGTAAGGAGAGCAAAAGAGCCTTGTTGTTTCTATCTCTTAATGTATTTTATACCTTGATATGGACACTGGAATGGTTATAGGAACGCTAGTGGATTGAGTGTCTTCCTGGAGGGGGTAAAGTAGTTGGTCCGATCCACGACCGCGTCATACAAAAACGTTACAACATTACACCCTACAACAACGGTATGAAACTAGGACATAGGTCCGGCGACGTACAGTCGCTCCCACATCCACATTCACGCACACGCACGCACGCACACAAAACATTGCTTTCCAACTGTAAATTTTGAACGCGATTTACGCCCCATTTTATCTCACCCGAACCAAGAAAGAATTGCATGTGTGAGCGAAACACATTCCCGTCCCAATTTGCTGTTGAAAAATGACAGCGTAATTTGCACACGCACATGAACTGCACGTGTTCGCGTGTCGGAGGTGTACCCCTGTTTGAATATCGGTAGCTGCTATACGGTTGACGTCAAGTGAAAACTACCGCATCTACGTTTGATACAGACACTGCTGAGTCGACCTAAACGACTTATGTGCGCTCCTTAGCTCTCTGGTCCAAACAAACAGGTTCTGATACGGCTGTTAGCTCTCAGATGGCGATAGGACAGAGCATACAAAGCTATCACAGCGAAACGGTGTGCGCCGTCAACTTTAACAGAGAATATGTCTTAACTGTAGCCATCCAGCGTACATCTATCGTCACATAACACAATGCATAGTATCAACGACGTCAGAGACGCGCAATGACAGAGACAAGCATCTCCTTTACGTTATAACAGGTCAACCATGATGAAAGCTGCCTGACGTCAATGAAAGCCACGTGGTGTTTATTTAATGTTTTAGATACATGTTTGAAGTACGTTAAGAGCATTACGACTGTTCAGTATTCTTGTACATGGGTAAGCAACCCGCGAACACAAAGAAAATTAAACTGCTAAATGGATTGTAAGGGTGGTGTCAACAGTATGATACAACGTCTGAACGTCAGTGTAGTATGTTTTCCCCTGTACATTGTCGTATGATGATGGTGATGATGATGATGATGATGATGATGATGATGATGATGATGATGATGATTTCCCCCCGGTTTAAAACAGGTCCCCAGCAAAAGCCTCTAACTGTCGTAAGAAGTACCCGAAGCGTCAAATGGTCACACTCATACTAAATTTATCAATCACCGGATTGTCTGGTCTAATCTCGATTATTTACAGGACGTCGTTATATTGGACGCTTGCTGAGTGAGTCAAATACTCAGGCAACAACAAACACCCATGTTAAAGTTAGGCAGCTATGTACATGTATACACCTGAGTCCGTCTTTGAGGGCTACATCGACTACTGATGGGGAGATTCTGTATACGGACCAGATTATGGGTGATTGGAAATGTACAACCAGAGTGTGCTCTACAACAGTCAGAGATCGTTATCCTGCAGTCAGTGTACAACCAGAGTGCGCTCTACAACAGTCAGAGATCATTCTCCTGCAGTCAGTGTACAACCAGAGTGTGCTCTACAACAGTCAGAGATCGTTCTCCTGCAGTCAGTGTACAACCAGAGAGCGCTCTACAACAGTCAGTGTACAACCAGCGTGTGCTCTGCAACAGTCAGAGATTGTTCTCCTGCAGTCAGTGTACAACCAGCGTGTGCTCTACAACAGTCAGAGATCGTTCTCCTGCAGTCAGTGTACAACCAGAGTGTGCTCTACAACAGTCAGAGATCGTTCTCCTGCAGTCAGTGTACAACCAGAGTGTGCTCTACAACAGTCAGAGATCGTTCTCCTGCAGTCAGTGTACAACCAGAAAGCGCTCTACAACAGTCAGAGATCGTTCCCCTGCGGTCTGTGTACAACCAGAGAGCCCTCTACAACAGTCAGCGACCATTCTCCTGCAGTCAGTGTACAACCGGAGTGCGCTCTACAACAGTCACATGACGTCTACCTACAAATCTAAAATCTCCGCTATCAGCCCTCCGGTCAAACACACCCAAATAATCTCTCCGAATTGCCTTTTTTTATTCACATTTCATCGTCGACAGCTCTATATTCAATCCCCTCATAAGAAAGGCTCTCCCGGAAATGTTTGAGATTAATGAAAAAGATCGCATTTTGAATCATGTTGCCTCGGGAAATAGGCCAAGGGTACGTTATCGTCAACGAACAACCAAATGGGTGAGTGAGTTTAGTTTTACGCCGCTTTTAGTAATATTCCTGCAATATCACGACGGGGGACACCAGAAACGGGCTTCACACATTGTGCCCATGTGGGGAATCGAAGCCGGTCTTCGGCTTGACGAGCGAACGCTTTAACCACTAGGCTACACTCCGCCCAAACAAACTTGAACATTGATGGAGCACGATAGACCGAACAGAATGAAATGCTGACCCTTGCCTCAATAAGTTTACTATTTAACTCATGATTAACCCGAACGCGTAGATTTTAATGCAGTACCAATGCTACCGGTCCCTTTACCATCCTTGAATTTGGGGCGATGGGGTAGCCCTGTGGGTAAAGCGTTCGAAGATCCGGGTTTGAAGCCCATTTCTGGTGTACCCGCCGTTATATTGCTGGAATATCGCTAAAACTAAAGCTAAACTACGGCTGTTGTCATGAGGGTGTTAAATGATGCTCTCTGACACTAGATACGTTTGTCCTCGGAAAGGTGATCCTGCTTCTGGCGTCCCAGATAATGAATGCGTTTTCCCTTCGTTTTATTTACAAGGATATCGAATAATCACGCTGGTGTTAAACGTGTATGTTTCGTAAGACGATGAAGCATCTATACGTTAACGAAAGTTACACACAAATGACGTCGTATACAACGTGATATGACAAAACTGACTGCAACGGGGGGTCTTGTTGCAGTTACGTGATAAATGTGTCTGTTTTCGGTCATATTCAAAGTATTGTAAAACAGAGAGTTTACAAGTCTCAACGCGAATCACAGACTATCACGTTGATGATAAACGACATGCCTGTTAAATGACCCCGTCACTTTAAGGCCACGACAAACTTGGTTCAGGGCCTCTTGTTTCCTAACGTGAGTGAGTTTAGTTTTACGCTGCCTTTGGCAATATTCCAGCAATATCACGGATTCTTGAAGAATATTTGTTACCATGATCAAGATAAAGGTACCTTCATTCAATTACCTTTACGTAAACAAAATGGTCTCTATGCTACGATTGTGTTTGTTTCGTTTGACATTGTATTCTTTAACGCCGTTCAATATTCCAGTTATGACGGCGGTCTGTAGATAATCATGTCTGGACCAAACAATCCAGTGATCAACATCATGAGCATGGATCTACGCAATTGGGATACGCTGACGAAGCCAGCGAGCACTGACCACCCGATCCCGTTAGTCGCTTCTTACGCCAAGCATGGGTTGGTGAGGTACAAACGATTGTGAGAAATGAGTGAATGAGTTTAGTTTTACGCTGCACTCAGCAATATTCCAGCTATATGGCGGCGGTTTGTAATTAATCGAGCCTAGACCAGACAATCCAGTGATCAACAGAACGAGCATCGATCTACTGTGAAGAATGGAGTACAATCAAATCCCCACAATGTGTGAAGCCCATTTCTTGTGTCCCCCGCTATGATATTGCTGGAATATTGCTAAAAGCGGCGTAAAACTAAACTCACTCACTCACCATTTGACAGCAAAGAACAGTATTTCGTGGCAAGTGGATGTGAAGTCCGAACTGATGCAAGTCTAGCTTCCAGCGGTACACAGATGAAGCGCGTTATCGACTGGACCACTTGTAACCCCAGGGGATAAGATTGAGATTGTCATCTTTACTGGACTGAACTACTGCCCCAGTGTGTTCTATGAATGAATGTCATAGCCGTGAAACATCCAAGGAAGACCGTTTAAGATAACCATCGTTTTGGTGATTTTCAGAAATCCACCGCCATTGTAAAGCAACA